AGCAGTTAACAAAGTTGTTGGTGGAGGCTGCTAGTTCATTTCTGGTTGACCTGAAATAAACACACAGAAACTGTATTATTAGCAATACTGTTTGGTCAATAGCTTTAGTGTATTTCGAGCTAGCTCTTACATCTTAAATTAACCATTTCCGTTATTTTATATTCTACCATGAGCCTCATGGTTTACTGGCAAGGTTCCAGTGCATCTGTCACCTGCAGTGGCTACATGGTTTCTCTGACTCTGCCTACTCTCTTCTCCTCTATCTTCTTGGAATTCCTGCCTTGCCCTATTCTGCACTGCAATAGGCCCAAAGCAGCTTCTTTGTTAACCAGTGGTATTTACAGCATACAGAGAGAATCCCACATCACAAAGTCCCTGTAGGGTTCAGAACCGAAGCCCTGCCAGTGCCTTTGCAGAAGTTTATTATGTCCCTCTTCACTGAAGAGGACGCAGCAGTCATTCCTAGCAGCAGCACTTTCCTGATGGAGACTGCAGGAACCCATGTCCTTTTCAGATTTAGCTTGTTTGATTAGCATGTCTGACAAAGAAGGCCAATCATGGTCTACCTATGTTAGGTGAATCATGATGAATCTGGCATCTTCCCCCTTGTTTTCACAATAGCTTTGGCTCAAACTTCAGCATCTGATTTGCAAACTGACTTTATTCTTCCACAATTCAGAGTCGTGTTTGTGTTTGTATACTAATTCCCACTCTCCACCTTGATTTTCTATAGTCTATCTTCTCCAAATAAATGAATCACAGGTTGGAAATGTAAAATTCCTTAGTGATGCAAAGTGAATTTGACAAAGATGCTGAGAGAATTGGATATACTTATATTAAACGTGAATCTTTATCCTCACTGCTCACCAGACATAAATATTAATGCAGAGAACATCATGAACCTGGATACTAGAGATACCAACATTAAGAAAATGAAAAGATGGCATAGTTTAGGAAACTATTTAAATTTAGAATATGTAAAAATCTCCTTCAATTTAGTAAGACAATTTAATTCTTTAACTGATACAGACTTATACTGATTTAGTTTATCAGTTCTACTCATAGACATTTATTCAAAAGAACTAAAAATATAGTTCCATACAAAGACTTGTATGTAAGGAGCACCATCTTTCAAACTCCTAAATTAGAAAGATTTCACATACTTATTACCTGGTCAGATGTATTGTATATACTTGAATTCTGTACAGCAGTAACAGTTCTGCCAAAATACAGATGTATATGCACACATGGATAAGTCTCAAAAACATTTTACAAGGGAAAGACTTACACAAAAGGCTACTTATGATGGTTTCATAGTTAATAGGAAGGTTTTCTAGATAAAGTGAAGGTATAAAGACAGGAAAGTGTTGCAGTACTTGTCAGAATCTGGGTGTGGAGCAGTGCTTGACTGATGTGTCACAAAAGAGCAAAGGGGACTGGTTGCATGTTGGTATTATCTTGTTAAAATGATAGGAACTATACTCAGTTATACTTCTTTATCTCTTCAAACAAAGTGCATTTATTCGGCACAGTGATGCATTTTGGAATTGTACGTTGAAAAAAAGTAAGTTTCTCAGTGTTTTCATGCCAGGAGTTTAATTTTAAAATGGGGAAAATGTACCTCAATATGTGATTTCAAAAATCCACCATATTATTTGGGTTAGGACATAGCTATTTAGGTTTGTGTCTTCTAAGCCCCAAAGAGAATCTTCTTCCTTTGGGCAGTTTTCTTTAAGCTGTAAGGTACATGACAGTCACCTGAAGATTCAACTGAGTGCTTATTGGGATTGAGTACATAGTTAGTAGGACCCAGGTTCTGCAGTCTGAGCACGTTTCAAGGTGAGGATGATACAATAAAGCTGGTCAGAAGAACCAGACTTTGTTGAAGGTCCGTTGGACTTTTTTAACCAGAACTTGAGCATCAGATTATTTTAAAATAAAACAGTGTGGGTTTCTAGCCAGAGATAACCAGGAGTTCACTTAGAGTCTGCTGTGACAGCAATGGATTTTCACTTGTTTCAGTCACTATTCAATCACAGTTCCACTTGTAATGTAGAGCTCCCAGGAAGTGACCGGGATCTCCAGAGTGTGTAGAGGAATAAAGAAGCATCCTTTAGTTCTGCTGGTTTTGAATTATTATTTTCTTCAACCCATCAGCTTCTTAGTTCTGGCTGTGAATCACAATCCAGAAGTGTGATCAAGAGTGATGATACTAGTTAACCACTATTGAGAAATTACGATTTCTCACTGTTCAAAATGTTCCACTTGCATTGTCTTTGCCCTTTCATATTTTACTCTGTGAAGTGAGTACCATTTTTATTCTCTGTATTAGAGATAGACATAATACAGAGAAGTTACTTTAAATAACCACACAAAAGGATGGGATATCCACTTGAGATTTAAAGTGAGACACCCAGACTCAAGGGTCTGAGAGAAGCTGAAACCCACCAATACTTGCCTTCCTATAATCTCTACTTGGGTTTATGTCAGAACTTCTGCCCCAGGCCTCTCACTGACTATCTTACTTAGGATTTCTACTGTGTGTCTACTTGACACAAACTAGAGTTGTCAGAGAGGAAGGAGCCTCAGCTGAGGAAATGCTTCCATGTGATCCAGCTGTAAGGCATTTTCCCATTTAGTGATAAGTGATGGAGGGATCAATCATTGGTGGGTAGTTCCATCCCTGGTCTGGTGGTCCTGGATTCTATAAGAAAATAGGTTGAGCAAGGCATGTGGAACAAGTCAGTAAGCAGCACTCTTCCATGGCCTCTGTGTCACCTCCTGCCTCCAGAATCCTGTTTGAGTTCGTATCCTGACTTCCTTCAGTCATGAACAGCAATGTGGAAGTGTAAGTCAAGTAAACCCTTTCTTCCTCAAGTTGCTTTTTTGTCATGGTGTTTTGTTTGAACAATAGAAAACCTAAAACACTGATCTTCTGTTTGTAGGAGAAGAATCAATCACCTCTTACATTTGAAGGTCATTTTATTAGTCTTCTAAAACAAACATACCCAATCAGAGTGTTTCTGTACTTGTAGAGCTTCACTCTGCTCTCACTTTGGCAGGCTCTGTTGATGTTAGAGGCTCCTCTCAAGTTGTCTTATTCTAATGGCTTCGGTTAAAAGAGAAAAGCCTACCAGGAACTTTTAATATTCCTTTCTCTCTCTTTAAAAGCTGAGGATCCTGGGACCTAAGTTTTCTTGTGTTCTTTATCCTTATCTGAGTTCCTCTTCCTTTCCAACCTTCTCAAGAAAAAAGAAAAACTTGATGCTAGTCTGAGATTGAGCAGAGCATTTAACTTACTGACGTGTACTTAACCCCGTTCCCTTTCTGTTTTGTTTTTAATTAAAGATTGTGTTTCATTGATGCTTCCAGAGATTTTAATGCCTTTTGTATTCCATGTTAACATAATGTATTTAGAAAGCTGAGTGTAAGGCAAGTCCATTTTTAATTTATCAATGGCACCCTCAGTCTTAATATGCTTAAGCATACTTTACTTTTGAAGGCAGAATTAATCTTTTATCAGGCTTGCCATGGATGCTGTTGGTTTCATTACTTTAGGGAAATGTCCCTGTGATTTTCTTAGAATTAATGCTATTCACATACTTCTATTTCCCATTGTCTGTAGAACATAAAGAAGATACAAATAAGAGTCACTTATACTAAAACTAATGTAGAAACAATGGATATCATTGATGTCTGAAATCTAACAAAAATGATTTCATTTTGGATGAAGAAAGTAAACCTAAATAATCATGTGTTTGGACTTTTTTATAAGTTGAATCTTAAAAATTGAAAGATAATTTATATCTGTGAAGAAAAGTTTTAGATATGATTGGGAAGAAATAGTTTTATTCTGCCTTTCATTTTTAAAGCAAATTTAGCCAGAAATATCCAGAATTAATACTGTAAGTTCTTTGCATCACTGGAGCCTCTGAATTTTGAATGACTTGAGAGTCACTTGGGGCTTATTAATAATACAGACCCCGGGGACCTATCCCTTTCCATTGTAAGTTTGCAAAAGAGTTCTCAGAAGATTTCAATATACGTTACATTGAGGTTCTCCAGGGAAATAAAACCATTAGGAAATTTTTCTCTTTTTCTTTCAGGAAAGTCTTGCATGATTCTGCGACTGAGGATTTCCAAGCTTTATAGTTGGCATTTTGGGGACCTAGCAGAGCATATGGTAGCGAAAGTCTAAGTTTGAAGGCTGGAGAGACAGTTTCCCAGCTGGAAGACAGTGATCCAGAGAGAGGACAATAGGAATGAATATGTGGCATTAGGTATTGATGATCCTGCCCAGCTTTACAAATATATTACTAATCACTGAGCTGAACCCTTAAAGGGTGAATTCTATAGCATGTAAATATTGTCCATAAAAATGTGAAGAGAAGAGAGAGGAAGAGACACAGGACAGGAAGTGGAGTGGTGATGTGGAATTCCCCTCTGTATGCTTTGAATACATTTGGTTACCATTGGGTAATAAAGAAACTACTTTGGCCTATGGAGCTAGGCAAAAAAACTAAATTGAATTCAGGGAGAAAGAAGGCGGAGTCAGGCAGATGCCATGTAGTCACCCAAGAAGCAAGGTGTGAGATAACAAATCATGAGCCTTGTGGTAAAATATAAAATAATATAAATGGGTTAATTTAAGATGTAAGAGATAGCTAGGAATATGTCTGAGTCGTTGGTTATACAATGCTGTAATTAATGTAGTTTCTGTGTGTTTATTTGGGTCTGGGTGATTGGGAAACGAAAGTGCAGTCTCTGTTTACAGAGTAGCTTTTGTGAGCATCTTTTGTTTCTTTAAAGAAGTGTGAAAACGTGAGTATAAGGGATGTATGGCCAAGGAAGTAATTTTTAGTCACACAGGTGACACTGCTGCATGCTTGTGTGCTGATTCAAGTGACCCATTGGAAAGGGGAAGATTAACGAGCCCTGTGAAAAAGACATGAGTTCATTGTGATATCATCTCAGGTAACCTTCTTCATATCTTCCCCTAGGTGACAGACCAGTCAGTGAAGGCATTTGCCGAGCACTGCCCCGAACTCCAGTATGTTGGCTTCATGGGTTGTTCAGTTACTTCCAAAGGAGTCATTCACCTAACCAAGGTAAGCGCCACAGCTTCATTTTCCTGATATTTTTGAGTATTATGAAGGTGACAGGCCATGGTATTGTCACTGTCAGCCATCCTCCAGTTTCTAGGCAGGCACTCCAACACTGATCTATATCCCAACCCATCTTTTTACTTTTTATTTTGTGGCATGACTGGCGTTGAACTCAGTATGTAGCTCAGGAAATCCTTGAACTTGTGATCCTCTTGCATTAGCCATTGACTAGCAGGAGTCACAGACCTGCTGCCCTGTGTGCAGTTCATTGGCTCTTTTGAAGCAGTTTCTTTCTCTATTGCCTGACTGCTCTTGACCTCATAGGTTCCAGATCTGCCTTATTCTGAATCTTCATAGGTTCTGGATCCGCCTCATTCTGGATCTTCACAGGTTCCAGATTAGCTCCATTCTGGATCTTCACGGGTTCTGGATCCGCCTCATTCTGGATCTCCACAGGTTCTGGATCCACCTGATTCTGGATCTTGATAGGTTCTGTCTCATTTTCCTGAGTAGCTGTGCTGCTGAACATTTTCCAGTTGTGCCTGGCTTTCTGGTTTTGCTCTATGTAGTTGATGAGGAATAGTTGGTTAACCATAGGAGTCAGCTAGTGTTTAATAAAGTAAATATCAGTTTTAGAAAACTATCTACTTCCTTTTTCTGAAACAGAATACTTATTTTAAAGTAGTTTGTTTTTTATATTTTCGTTGCTAATGCTTACAAAAACATGAGTTAAAGAAACTGATACATGACAAGATTTACTTAAATTTCAACTTGAAACATCACACATAGGTGATACATTGAGATTGAACTACTCTTCTCTCACTGTGTCCTAGGAGCATTTGCTTACAAAGAGAATCTGGTTGTTTCATTGATTAATCTGAATATATAAGGTGAAATGAGAAAATTTGCTGTTAGCTCAGAGTTTACTTACAACCAAACATGTATTTTAGAAATGATGATGGTACTAGTGTCTTTGCGATAGCATTTCATTTCTGCTCCTGTGATCATTATGGCTTATACCCATGTGATAAATAGGCTACTGTAACATTTACCCGTGTTCTGCCTGGCTTGTGCATTGTATAGCTTTTAACTCTTACCAAATTGTACTTGGAAAAGGAGTGCTGGTATTGCCGTTGTGACTTAATAACAGAATAGCCTCGTCCTTCAGCTTTCTCTGTGTAATGAACACAGCTCTTGCATGGCAGCACAATGCTGGAATAAGTAGGGAAGATCACAGCTCTCGTTATACTTGATCTGTTTGGGTCTCTTCAAGGTTACAGCTTTGTGAGTAACATTCCTTTCCTTCCAGAAAAAGGACAAATGTTTCTGAATTACGGAAGCCAGTACTGGTGGGGGCAGTGAGTAGGTTCCTGAGTCTTTCATCCTGGCTCCTTTGTTAGCTCCACTTTGGTCCTTGGCTCTGCCCCATAGTAACTTAAGTGTGCAAATTACTTTCCAGTTTATTAACTAAGGCAATATATGACAAATGATTTCCTCAGTATTAAGACCACAGTAAGAGTGAAGTAAATGGTCATTATTGCTGTCAAAGTAAATTCTACTCTAAGCCAGTTGCTAGAAAATTAGTGCAAACTTTGGTTCAAAAAAATCAAGTCACCATTCTTATTCAGTATGTCTTAAAGAGAGCCTGTAGTGTATTGTGTCTGAAATGGAGGATCAGACTTCCTGGATTCTGAGCACTAGAGCCTATCACTAGAGGAAAAGGTAGGATTCTTATTTTCAGTTATCGATCTACTAAAGCATCTAGTATAACCAAGACCATATATAACCACATACTTTTATTCATTCCCTGTAACCTTGACCCAAAAATATTGAGATGAGTGTTTTCTGGTCCCTTTTAATGCTGTCTATAGAAATGCCATGGATGAATAGATAGGGCACAAGTGTTATAATGACCATGTGTGTGATTTTTTTTTATGATCACTCAAAATTTTCTCACCAAAGACAAAACAAGTTTTCCACATCACTGTACTCTCAGAGCATTTGAGATGGCTCCAAATTCTGGTATAGTGGTATTTAAAAGATTCACTATCTGTGATAAAATAATAGCTACGGTAAATGAATGTGGAAAGCTTTCTTTGCTGGGGAGGCTCTTCTGAAGTTGATAGGCAAGGGTTTCTGGTGGGACCTGCTAACAGGTGGAAGCTTCTAGACTCATATCAAAGCTAGCCCAGAGTTTGAACCTGCACATTTCTCCATAACAGTATATCCACTTAGATGAAAAGTTGCTTGTGGTATAATGATGGTCACTTTCTTGTGCTCACATAGAACAAGGTGGCATTGTATTATAAGTATGCAAATATTTTGTAAAGCTGTGAATGTCAAATTTTATAAAACTCAAGTGTTAGACTTAAAATCTTTGCCTTCTGTAGTGTTTTTAACCAGTTATTAAAAAAACTCAGGACTGCGAGGGATGCGATCACCCACTGATACAAGGGGACTGATCTAATGAGAGTTCACCAAGGCCAGTTGGACTGGGACTGAACGAGCATGTGATCCAACCAGATTTTCTGAATGTGGCCTGATTCTCTGAATGTGGCTCGCCCGGAGCCTTTCTGAAAAGCCATTGACAATGACACTGGGACTTGTTTCCTCTGCATATACTGGATTTTTGGGATCCAGTCTGTTTGGATACTCACCTGGAGGGAGGGGGGAGGAACTTGAACTTCCCACAGGACTGGAAGCCCTGACTGCTCTTAGGGATGGAGAGGGAGGAGGAAGGGGAGGGGGCAGTGGGAGGGTTTTGGGAGGAGGGGCGGAAATGGAATCTTTCATAATTTAATAAACTTTGAAATAAAAACCAAAAAAAACCAAAAAACAACAAAAAAATGTTTACAAAATGTTGTTTAAATGTACTGAGCACCCCTTAAAATTGTGTTTTCTTTGTTATCAGAAAACTACGCACTTGAATTAAATGATCTATCCTTAGATTAAAAATTTCTTGTACCTTAAAGAATCAAAGAATTTTGAAGTTGTTGGGCCAGGGAGACGGTTATTTAGCTAAACTAAAAAAAATGTCAAATATATTAATACATTAGTAAAGAAAATTGGGGCATTATGACTTCTTTAACTTACGCAAAGGGCCAGAGGGCTAAAGATTGGGACTAGATGGAAAAGTATTGTTATTCTACTACCTCGTTCACTTTGGCTCAATTCCACTTTGACATTCTCCGCCTTAACCTGACTCTCAACTTCCTCTGTGATGCTTCTTGTTTCCATGCCTGGTACTCAGAAGAGTCTGCTAAACATCAAACATCATCCCTTCGAACACCGTACTGCTAAACCTGTTCATCCAGTCAGTTTGAGGCAGGTTGAGAAAGCCCGGTGCACTGGGTTGTGTTTAAATGTCCAGTTACGTAAGGGGAGAGCTCAGGCTCATGTGAGAGTTGAGTGTCAGCAACTCCTCTCTAGCAGAACTGACCTCTGCCACTATAGGGGGTTTGCCACTTATTCTACCTGCTTGTAACTATGAAATGGCTTTTTCTTGCTCCTTTTACAAATAAATCCAGCAAATGAAAGTGTACAATTACTCCCTCCTGCTCAGGTAGAGTGCTTCTGTATGACTAGTTGCTAAAGCAACTGCAAAGATCAAATCAGAGCACTCAGAAGTCTCAGGAAATGACTGCTACGGGTTTAAGTTCAAATGCTTAGAGTAAAAAAAAAAAGAGAGCTCACCTTAAGGGAAGGGTTTAAAACAAATCAAACATATAAACACTGTGGTTTATAACGGCACAAACAATGCTTGGTCCTTCCAGCCAAAGTATCACAGCAGAGCCCAACTCTACAACAGATACAAAACAAGGAAAAAATAGTTCAAGTCCTGCATGGTAGAACATGTCTTTAATTCTTATATTCAGGAGGCAGACCAGGAAGATAATATCTGCGAGTTCGAGATCATCCTGGTCTGCATAGTACCAGGGCAGACAGCCAGGGCTAAGTAGAGAGACCTCCTCCTCCTCCTCCTCCTCCTCCTCCTCCTTCTCCTCCTTCTTCTTCTTCTTCTTCTTCTTTCTTCTTCCTCTTCCTCCTCCTTCTCCTCCTCCTCTTCCTCCTCTTCTTCTTTCTTCTTCCTCCTCCCCCCTCCTCCTCCTCCCCCGTCCTCCTCCTTCTCCTCCATCTTCTTCCTCTTCCTCTTCTTCCTCTTCCTCTTCTTCCTCTTCTTCTTTCTTCTTCCTCTTCTTCCTCCTCCTCCGCCTCCACCGTCGCCTCCTCCTCCGCCTCCTCTGCCTCCTCCTCCTTCTTCTCCTCCTCCTCCTCCTCCTCTTCTTCTTCTCCTCCGCCTCCTCCTCTTCTTCTTCTTCTTTTCCTCCTCCCCCTCCTCCTTATTATTATTATTGTTATTGATATCAGGCAACAGAGAACAGTGATTCCTAAGGTTTGAGAAACTAACAAGAAAACACCTGTGATTATCTGAGAGGACGTCATTGAAGGATTTCCAGATGGCAGCAAAGCGAAGGGTGACATACAAAGACCCAATAAATTATGTGAGGTGACAAGACAGAATCAACTGTTCAGGAGGTCATCGGTTTCAGAAGGGAGCACTGTTGTGGGAAAAACTGCACGGAGAACCCAGACATCTGTGTGAATGCCCTCTACTCATCCGGCCTCCCACAGTCCATGAGTAAGGAGCAGCAAAGAAAATTGGCAAGTGTTTTCAACTGTTTGAATGAAATTAAAACCGCGTGTTTCAAATTTCCTCTGATGCTGCTCACTCATTACTTAGGTGAAATAAGTAGAAATAAATAGCTGTCCTTAAATCAGTGAGCTCAGTTTCCCTTTAAAGGATTTGAGAGAGAAGAGCAGACTGGAATCCCAAGTGCACAGAAGAAACAAAGTGGCAAATATGCAAATGGAAGCCAACAGAACAGAAAACCAGTAATGAAACTACTGACTGGTGTGTGTTGACATGAAGCGAGCTAGAGTCCTCACAGGAAGGAGCCTCAGCTAATGAAATGCCGCCTTAAGATCCAGCTGTAAGGCATTTT